CAAGGCGTTGCCGCAGCGCGGGGCGGGGGGAGGGGGCTGGAGGGAAGAGGGTGCTGGTCCCAGGTCCCTACCAGGTGCCCGTAGACGTCGGCAGGCTGGAGGTAGAAGGTGGAGTTGAGCAGCTCTTCCAGCCTGCGTGGAACGTCGTTCTCCCGGTAGTACTCCATCGCCTGCTGCTTCAGCTTCTGCAGCTCCCTAGTGGTCCCACAGCCGCGGCCGCCGCCTTCTTCCCCCATGGTAGGAGATTTAAGGCTACAGCGGGGGTTAGCCTGGGGGCCCGCGAGCGTCCTCCCCGTCGCTAGGCAACGCAGAGAAATCCCGACCCCAGATCTCGCGAGGCTGCCAGCCCGGGTTCTTCCCGCAGCCAGAACCGGGAAAAGGCTCCTTCGCCCTCCGATCTCGTTCTCCCTGAGGGTTTGGCCCCCGGGGTTGGGCACCTTGACTCCTGAGACTAGCACCCTCCTGGCGTCGTTTTCCACCACTTTCCCCGATGGTTTTCAGGTGGGCGCGCCGGGTTCCCGGTGGCCCTGGGTCTCGGGGCCGTCAGGCCTTCCCCGCTTCGTTCCCCGCGGTCGGGAGCTCACCCGGGCGGCGGCCTGCCCGTGCCGGCCCAGTCTCCTGGAAGGGTTGTGAGAACTCAGGGTAGCCTTACTAAGCTGCGGAGGTCCCAGGAATTCATTCATTCGTTCGTTGTTTACCTGTCCTGAGCCGAACAGTGTTCTTGCTCGGCGAACTGCGACGTCCAGTTGAGAACCGGCTACGGGAGATAAGTGCAGTGAAATCAATGGAAGGGAAAAAACAGTATGGGACCAAAAAATTTGGGGTGAACCTTACGGGATGGTTATGGTTAGGCCTATGGGGTGAGGTGTTACAGGCAAGACTTGAGGAGAAGCAGGAGTGGAGGACTGTTACTGGCTCATGTTACGTCTCCAGAACCTTCAGAGGCTGTCAGCGTCCTGCTCTTTTAAATCCAAGCTGCCTGCTTGGTTTCATAACACCTGCCAGGTTTCACGTGCCGTTATAGAACTTCTCACTGTGCGCCCTTTGCTCTAGATACTCCTGCAGGAAATGGCTGAGATGTTCGTGTTCCACTCTTGCCTGTTTGTGTTTGTGACCTAAGCAGGCCGTTTAAAACATTCTTGCTGCACTTTGCTCATCTGAAACACAATCCTAATGACTCTGCCTGCTTCACAAGTCAGGCAGAATAAAATGAGAACATGAGTGAGAAAACGCTTTGAAACAAGATACTTTCAACAGAGGCAGGTAGATATATACAAATAATGTGATTCTATAAATACTGTTATTGGAACCCAGACATGCACCTCCTGAACTCTCCCAGTGTTTTCTCCAGTTCTCTAATGGAAGATCTCACTTTCTGGGGCGTGATAGGTCATGATGGGCCTGGCTTATCTTTGCTAAATGGAAATCCCTCCATGGTAGGAGCCAAGTTTGAGTCATCGTCACATCCACAGGACAGCCTGGGGCCCCACAGGGACAGAGCATGCGCTCTGCTGAGTGGGTGTTGAGTGAACCTTTATTCAGAATAAGCCAGTGCTGTTGCTGCTGTCTCAATTCCACCATTGTGCCTTTCCTCATACCCGTGTAAGTGGAAGGACCCCCTTCTCTCACACGCCCGTCCTTTCCATCCTTTAATGCCGGTGGAGTCCCACATCAAAGCAGGCCCGCTCCACACTCCAGCTCGCATTCTGGCCAGTGCTTTATTTTTTTTGAATTCCTTCCCCATTTGCAGCTAGAGCCACAAAATTCAACCTTTAGGGATGTCTTGACTCATTTGATATTTTAGTGGAAGACTGGAAGTATCCTGGGCTGGGGCCGTGATGTCTCAGAGTCTCCCCTCGGTTGGCCTCTAAATTCCTTGAAGACAGGAACTTGGTCTGTCTTGGTCACCATTGCGTCCCCAGCATCAGTACATTACTGACAGATCAGACACTCAGTAAATGTTTGTTGAATGAATGAATGGATTTTACACATAATAAACACTTAACTCATAATCAGATGTTTTGGAGTTGGGTGAATAATGAGTACACCAGACTGAGTCAAGCAGAGAGTTTATTTTCAGGAACAAGGGAAAATAAGGATGGAAAAGTGGTCAGGTGAGATTGTGAAGGAACTGGAATACCACTCTGTAAGAGTGGGGAGCACCCCCCAACCTCTGAATATGGGATGGGCATGATGGAAGTGGTGTTGTAGGAGGTTAACTGGCAGCAGTGGGTAGGTTTGGTGGGTATTTGGTTATACAAAAAGCAGATAATAACATAGATGCAAGAGCCGAAACAGTAATGGGAGCAATGGGAAGAGAAGGTTGAGAGAAGTAACAGGAAGGAAGGATGAAATCCCTTTGAGTGATTGGATGCGTGGTTCGGGAACCAACGATGACGCTGTCGAGGATACCTTGTAGAATTCTGTTTCAGTTGACAGAAATGAGATCTGGTTTTGATGGAGGGAACATGGTGTGTTTGGTTTTAGATGTGTAGAGCTTGAGATATCAAGAAGCATTGAGGCATATCAAGATTCTTTTGAAAGTAAATGTGTTTAATTAAATATCCCAGAGGATATCCCAGAGGACAAGGAGGACTGAAGAGACAGATATAAGACATCCACAAATAATTCAAAGTTGAGTAAGAATAGATGAATCTTCTGGGGGAAAAAGGGAAAATCCTCTTGAACTAAGGACCTAAATATTGGGGAGGGAATTTATTTAGGACATAGTGGGAGGATGAGGATCTCTAGCAGGAGACAAACAAGGAGGACTTAGAGAAAAAGAAAAAATCACATCCCAGAATCTAGGGCAGAGAGTTTGAGGACTATGTCAGATGTGTGTGTGTGTACATATACATAGAATAAAGTCTGAAAGGATGTGCATTTGCATGTTAATTGTGTCTTCCTTAGGTGATGGGATCTTTTTTTTTATGTGTTAGTAGTATCTGATTTTCCCAAAATGTATTCTTTATACAGCTTTGAATACATGAAAAGTATTTGAGGGAAGGATATTAAGTCAAATGTTATAGGAGAATTAAAGACTGAAAAGAGATTTCTAGGAACTCAGTTCTTCCCTTATGGATCGTTCCATCTTCTCAAAGAAAAATAAAGCTACATGCAGGCTAAATAAATAAATAAACCTCCCATCCCTGTTTACTTCTGTCATTCACTCAGTCAACCAATATTTATTGAATACCATATGTCAGGCACTGTTCTAGGCTCTGGGGGGAAAGCAGTGAATAAAATGGATATCATTTCTTCTCTTCATGTCACTTAAGTTCCATTGGTTACTTCAGTAGCCCTTCCACCCTAGTCAGTGGTTGGGACAATAAGCTGAGATAATAATAGATGTCAAAGCATTTTGAAAAGATGGTATGCTAGGGGCTTAACAGCCTATTGATATAGATCCAGAGTAAATACAATGATTATTCATGCATATTCCAATTTTCTTCTTTTCCATAGATATTAGAAGTATTAGTGTTTTGCTGTAAAATACATTTATGCAGGTACATATTTTATATACTTTACACATTCCTTATTTTAGTACCCTGGTGACTATATTTCTCCTTTGTATTGAGACTAAATGTCTGAGGGCACTTACAGAGCATCAGAGCTTGAAAGGGATTGAGTGCTGCTAACCACTAAAGGTGAAAACTGGGGAGCTGATGAAGGGAGGGAAATGAAGGGAAGGAAAGGCTCAGGAGATGTAGAAAGTTCTGGAACATCCAGGGAGAGAGGGTAGGACCGTATTCTTCCTTTAGAAAGAGAATGGGGTGTCCACATTGGAAGGGGATGTATGGTGTGGGACAAAGACCCTTTGGGAATTAGAAAACTGAGATTGGGGTTCCAGCTGTCCCCAAGATCTTCTGGGACCTCATCAATGAAACAAGAGGGTTGGACTAGATCATTGTTACGTAAACCTTTTTGTGTATGAACACTCTATTTTAACAGCAACAAATAATTGAGACATCCCCTCCCCTACCATGGCCCAGGTAATAGTGGTTATATATAGTGACTATGAATTCAGTAGTCCCTCGAGAGGCATTTGTGTTTCATTCATGGAAACTGTACAAATGGCCAAAAATACATTTACAGGCAAGCCATTCCTCAGTGTTGGGGGTATGCTTGGTGTATGTTTAGTCCTCGGGCTTTTCAGGGACCCAATGAGCTGGGTCTCCCCATCTGGATCTCTTCTACTTTGTAGCTCTGATTCAAGATAAAATATCAGGACATATTAGTCGATTCCTATCTGCTAATTGAAGGAAATGAACCATTTTCAATCTGCATTTCAAAAAGAATTTCTAAGCTTTGTCAGACAGTTCCTAAATGAATGAGGATAAGAAAAATCTATTTGTTCACTTTTCCTTAATCCTTTCCAACACCTTTATCTAAATTGGAAGTTGTTTACCCTGACTTTAATGTTCAGAAGTGATTATTTAGATGTTATTTCGGGGTTGCTATCAAGTGCTTGTTAATTCTTCTTTCCAGCATTTGCCATCTGTGTTGAATATCATTTTTCACTGGGAACTAATGAACATGGTTGCAGGTGCCTTTAATCATAGAATCATAGACACTGGAGACAGAATAGTTGGAAATGTTGCCTTTTCCTCATCTAGAAAATGGGAGTAATAATGTTACCCTCCCTTACCCAGTTGTCACGAATGAGAAATACGATTGCCAAACTAATTGCAATGTAAGTAACTGTAAATTAAATGCTAAGTAATAAAAGTAGGAATAATTTGACTAATAAAAAATGTTTTTTTTCCTAATTTGATTTTTTTCATTACTAATGCCTCCTGGCAGTAGTCATTTCCACTGTGGTAGTAATAACAGCAAAACCCGCAGTGCAGCTACCACTGATGGGGCACTTGTCTATGCCTGGGTCTTCTTTTGTATCATCCCACTGAATCTGCAGAACAGTCACAAAAGGTAAATGATTGGTCCAAGGTTACACAGTTAATAAATAGTGGAGATGGAATTTGAACCCAGGTCTGGTTGGCTTCAGTGCCCATGGATTCCCGCTGTGCTCCACTGCGTCTCAAATCTAGAACTGTTAGATTCTGCTGCCCATGTCAGCTTTTGCTAGACTCTTCCCCATCCTCTCTGCAGAAGCCAGTTGAGTTGATCACAGTGAGGGCTTAGAGAAAGGAGCCTGGGCTCATGGTGTGAACCTCTTGGTCAATTTCTCAGTCAGGGCTGTACATTAGAATCACCTGGGGATTCTACTAGATTCTACTAGAATCTAAGCACCATTAGAATTTGAGCACCATGAAGAGAAGGATTACTTGTTTTATTCACTGCTGTAGTATTGAAAAAATGCTGATGCCTGGGCCCTACCCCAGACCTATTAAAACAGAATCTCTAGCAGTCGGGCCCAAGCACAGGTGTTTTATTTTATTTTTTTAATGTATGTATGTGATACGTGTAGTCAAGGTTGAGAACCACTCCTCTAAAAGATTTCTACTTGGATCATGTCATAAAGAGAATGAAAAATATTCATTCAGGAATGTTTTGGTAATGGATCTGGCCGAGAAGGCCTGGAAGTATTGGGTCTTGGAATCAGACCCCCTGGGTTCAAGTCCTGGGTCTTCCAGTTTCCAGCTGTGTGACCTTGTACAAGTTACTTAACCTCTCTGAGCCCATTTCCCCATTGACTAGTATTTTCAATTCCACAGGATTGCTATGACTTAAATTTAAAAATCCGTGAGA